AAAAAAAAAAAAAAAAAAAAAAAAAAGAATAACATCAGTGGGGTTTTTCTTAATTCTAAATTTTGTTTCCTAGGTTGAAATTATTATTTTCTTTTTTTTTTTTTGAGTTGGGAGTCTCACTCTGTTGCCCAGGGTGGAGTGCAGTGGCACGCTCACGGCCACAGCAACCTTGACCTGCTGGGGTTTGGTGATCCTTCTGCCCCAGCCTTCCAAGTAGCTGGAACTACAGAGACATGCCACCATGTCTGGCTAGTTTTTGATTTATTGCAGAGACAAGGTCTCACCAAGTTGCCCAGGTTGGTCTTGAATCCGAGGGCTCAGGCAATCCTCTCGCCGCGGCCTCCCAAAATGCTGGGATTACAGGATGAGCCACTGTGCCCAGTCTAGCCTAAAATTATTAATGGCTGAGTCAAGTTTCCTACTTTCTCTTTAAACATAGTGGTTTGATAACATCATCAATCATCTCATTCTCCTGACATCCCACTAAAATAAAAGTAAAGAAATAAAAAGGAAAGAAGAATGGGAAGAGGAGACAACAGTGGGTAAACAATTAAACCAATTCTTCAAGTGTTAAGTTATTAGAGGATCAATTAAATCATACAGTTGAGAGCCCTCTTTTGTGGATCTGCAGAGAATTCCTGTAAGAAGCAATCAGATTTGCACTATAGGAAGCAGACCTGAATAATTGGTAAAGTCCATATACAGAACCCTCAGGCCCCCTGGTGTCCTCCTCCATTCCTGTGATTACCCCTCCTCTAGAAGGCCTTGAGAGTCCAGATTCAGGGACAGGATGGGGTTAGTAACCTCTATAATTCTAAGGGAAAATCATTTCCAGTCTAGAATTTTATGTTTAGCCGACTATTATTCAATGTAGAAAGATATTTTCAAACATGCAAGGTCTCCTAAAATTTATTTACCATGGATTCTTTTTAAGAAAGTTAAGGCAGGGCTCAGTGGCTCAGCCTGTAATTCCAGCGCTTTGGGAGGCCGAGGTGAGTGAATTGCCTGAGCCCGCAGGTTCGAGATCCGCCTGGGCAACTTAGCGAGACCTCATCTCTACAATAAACCAAAAAAAATTAGCCAGGCATGGTAGCACGCGCCTGTAGTTCCAGCTACTTGGAAGGCTGAGGCGGAAGGATCACCGGAGCCCAGCAGGTCGAGACTGCAGTGGCTGGGAG